ATATTCGTTTTTCCAAATCCTTTAAAATGATAACAAGACTGTTGAATTAGCGTCCAACTTTACCTATATTCACAAGAATAATTCCTAAATCTAATTAGTAAATTCAGATAATCACAACAATAAAATCATAACAACTCAATAAAAAACAAATTGAATATCAAACATATGTGATGCAATAAGACGAACTATGAAAGCTGGAAACATACCACATATTTGATATCGTGCGTATCGCCAGAGAGCCATCTTATTTTATAAATATCTTCTTCATCGGCCATATCACAATCCTCCAGTTGTTCTGTATTGAAATTCTTATTTCCTGACAAATCCTCTAACTTCTGAAAGAAATTCAATCACTCAGTACAGGTTTATATCGAAATCGCCATTTTAATCGCCATTTGAAAAATTCTCCTTCAATTAAATTTCACTAAATTTACCCTTAACTCAATGAAATACTTCTAAATGTAATTTGTAATTCGACGTTACATCATCAGAATATACCATCAGACACTACTAACATTTGTGANCTGATATATGCCTCGTTGATCACCAACAATCAATTCATTCCAGTGAATTGCACTACTTTTTGAAAGAGTTAATTCGAGTCTGAAATCCAGTTGCAAGATGCGATGCATGCGTTTCATAACAAATACGTTTCTGGGATGAAGCCATTGAAGCAGATGATCGCAATATTTTAATGCAATGCTTCTCAAATTTTTTCCTTACCCGCACCCCTTAAAAATTTAAAGAAATCCTCGCACCCCTACAACAATAGTGAAAATGTCCTCGTATCCCTCACAATCCTCTCAATATCTGTCATCCACTACAGTGAACGTTCTACGAGTAGATAAATGTATATTTCTAAAGTAAATTCTAGCCTTTTTAGAATGCATAAGTTAAAGTCCATCATTGCTTTCTTAATACATATTTATGCGCTGGAATCCAACCTCGCCTACTCTAATGCATAACAAATGACATGTTATCTCTCTTAAAAACCCAGTTTTAATGAGAAATACGAATTAATAAGTGAAATGAAATTATATTACATATTCTTATCAATCGTATAAGTGGATCCATCCACATGAATCACACCGCCCAATTCACCTTCAAGCAGCAACTCTCCTTTGATGGAAATTTTTATTTTCGATGAGCTCATCGTCAACGACACATCCTTTTTATGTATCACCTCACCTATATTGAATACTACTGTTACATCCTCATCCGACTGCATCCAACAATACAGCTTTTTATCTTCCTCCATTGATTCTTCCACTGAAAACATATTAATCAATGGACCACAAAGCAATTAATCTGATGAAGAAATTTTAAAAAGGACAAGAGGATAGACTTGAAATATTAGGATAACAACTGGCATAGAATGGCGACTAACTGAGAATTTATCGTTAGACGACGGCAAAAGGATTACCTAGGAGATGCAAAACCATATTAACTAACTGCCTGGCCAAATGTAAAGGGCAATAATATTTGCGATAAGATTTTTGATCACAATGAAGTGTTTCGGGCCGATAAGTGGAAATAAAGATACGAAGAAAGGCCATTCTACGATAAAGTCTGCTGTCAAGGAAACGGGAATAAAAATCGCCTAGTAAACGATCTATCAAATTAGAGTTTTCAGTTGTGCGGTCGTCGGTAACATGTTCAGCGATGGATATGAAAGAAAGTAATAAACGATGAAACGAACCAATTTGTCCGCTCTCATCTTCCACTAACGATGTTCGATGATTTCTGGATATCTTCTGCGCAGAATCATAGACAAAGTTCACATCACCGCAGCTGTCAACTATCAGATTGTTTATCGACGAATCAAACGTTATCATTTCAATATGCCCTTCGCAAATCACCTCGCGTTTGGCACTCATCTTCCATTCGTTTGATTCTGCCAACCAGTTTATTATTATTATTATAATTACTATTATCATTGTCATTGTTATTAGTATTGATGATAGGATTATCGTCACAGAAACTACAATAACTACAGATTTTTAGTTCTACTTTCTCTAGTAACTTGGCTTGATTTCCGAAAAATGATCAAAAATGAACAAAAAATCAATATGAAGTGCTCATGGATAAGATCCTTTTAGAGCATGGATTCAATAAAACGATTATCCTTCAGAACTGAATTCATTCAAAGTTGGTTTGTTCGTATCACAAGTGAACATATTGACTGAGAAATGATTGAAGCAAAAATCACAATGAATAAAACGAAGAGAAAACCAAAAAATCGCATAAGAAGGAAAGCACGCTAACCATAAGTCAAAGAAATCCACAAAAGTTTATTCCAGAAATGTGATTTCGATGAGTGTCTCTCCTTCGGTATCACTTTCCTCAACAACACATCCACACAATCCTCTTTCAACGACACACTCTCGGCGATTATGAACGCCGCTGATTTATTGTCGTTTGTGTCCAGTAATTTACTCACATCCAAACATTCCTTAAATTACCCATTTTATACCATTCCACCATTCTAACTACAATAATTTCTACTGCATTCGAATCACTGAACACTGCATTTACTATTCTATGCAAGTTCACCTCGAACTTAACAATACCATCTGCTTCTGAATCACTCTCTACTTGTATATTGATTAACGGTTTGTGATCATTCAGATGACCGATTACTAAATATACAAAGAATATCAACACCAATTGAATTAACACGTATAATCCAGCATTTCCACAACAGAGATTGAGTTCCAATCGAAGTTATTGCTTAATTAACTGCACATTGTTCACATACAAAGTTGAAAACTCAACTCTTCAAGTGATCTGAACACATCAAACAAACGAGTAAATTAATCGATTCAAGAAGAATGTCAAAGCAACCTCCCAGACTGCGCTTTTGCTACGATCGCCAGTTGAATAGAGCGAAAGTTGTCCATAACCATTCGATATGAATGCGAAATTTTTATTCGGAAATGAAATATTTGCAGGATATCGCTCTTCGCGACTATTGAAGTCATCCGGTAGACTGATTGCTGCGACTTTTTTGATCGATTCAAATGTACTTCCCTTTAAATTATTGTTTGATGTAACGAAAGTGAAATGATAACCTATCCAAATACTTTACAAACTAGTCACTTCGATTCGAACCACCATAATTTCCTTATGCGTACTTCTGACAGAATCAAATCAAATCATAACTATCATTCTCAAAATACGGATAAAATAGTGATAACAACTCCTTAACAATAGACAATTATCAATGTTTCAACACCTCACCTGCGCAGAATAAGTGATCGCATATACTCCTAAATCATCAGCAATCACATAAAAACGTTTCACATTGTCGCTGCTGAATTTATCAACTACGAGATAATTTATATCGCTAAACAATTTCACATGTTCCAAGCCATACTGCGAATTACTTGTTTGCAATATACGAACTGAAAATTTGCAACTTGTTTACAATATTCTTACGACCATTTTCACTGTTACAGCCCTGAGTTCCTCTTCTTAGAAATCACTGGGCAGTATGGGAGAGGGTAGCCTGAAACCTCTGTGATCGCCAAACTAGTAAATGAATTTATAGTTATACGAAGACGGGCGATTCCCAGCTATCGTTAAGGAAATGAGAGAAGAATGTTAAAGAACGAAGAGAAAAACGTGATATTTGTGATAACAGAAAGACTTGAACTCGTAGTGGATTATTGTAATTGCTGATAAATAAACGCTATCAGTGAACTGGATCATTCACAACACTGTTGTTTACTATCATATGCTGTGCTCAATTCATTACTACTGAGCTCGTTGCTCTCGTATATGGAAGTATACATTATGAGGTTGTTATCATCCAGCGTTATTGTTGTGATAGTTATTGATTTTGAGATTAGTTTTAGCACTGCTATTTCAATAGTATTCCTATTAGGGCTATCCCCGAGAACTGCTAAAGAACTCGCCTTCAGAAGGTAGCTCTACGTTCATCGTTGGAAACTTGTCCAATGACAGTTTATAACCATCGAAATTCGCGTCCAATAGGCTCGCATCAGGCTGTAAATCGATGAAATTCTCCATCTGCGATGTCATTTTGCTCGATTGTTCGTTCGTTCACTTTTATGCAAAATAACCTTGAAAATAAATTTGATTAGTGATCAACAATGTGAGACTAGAGGAATTGTGAATACGAATCGCTTTCTGGAAATGGGATGAAGATGTTTTGAGGATTCGTAAGGACTCGAATGGTCGATTGAATGTGGATGGGATAGAGGATCGAAAACGAGGGATTAATGTGAATGTAGACGAGATTTAGAGAAGTAACGAATGAGAGAATGTCGTCGTGCCGAGCGTATGTCACTACGTTTGGTCAGCTCATTGCTGAGCATATTCTCAGAAATGTTATCATTGAGGTTGACACTAAACATGACCATGTTGCTTTTCTACTGAATTCATCTTGTTTTCACATACATTGCATAATATCACCCTTATGAACATCAGCAGATAACACATGATCTCATATCTCAACTTTCTTCATCGTCTTTAATCCATAACCAACTCGATATCGAAAGCGATCTAGCTGTCAGCATTCTTCTCGAAAAAGTCGAAAGCTTCACGACAAAATCAGAGGAATTTAGTCGTTCAACAACTCCGTCGGACAATTTAGAAAAAAAGGTAACTCAAATCAATGTCACGATTGAATTACAATAGCTACGATCCAGCTTTGGTTTGTGAATTGGTTGACAATCAAAAAACCTTGATGTTTGGAAAATGGAAGAAAATAGATTGGAGTAGAGGAAATAACTCATTTTAAGCCACCAAATCAAACGAAATAACTACAAACAACTTTATTTTCATTTAATAATGAACAAAATCTGTAAAATGCACTTGATGAACATTTCAATGAAATGATTATTTACATAAAGTTTATGGAATATCGGTAACTGAGTAGCTCTGTGTATCACTTCAATAAGGCTTGTTATCACAACATCAATAACATTAGAAACGAAAGTAAATTCTGATAATGAAACCAGTTCTATTATCTGAACAGAGCAAAGAATCTTTATTCCACATCAGATACTCCATCAACGCATAAGGGTCTTCCGGATTCGGATAACCGCAACGATCTATCCGTGAAATTTTAATTTCCTGCCTAGGCCATTCATCAGGCCAATGTAACACGTTGCCCAGTTTCACGTTTGAAATTAAGCGAATTTTTTCGTTTCCGTTTTTGAGTCTTTTTCGATGATTCAATTAAAGCCGATTCCATATCTTCCGGTCGGATAAGATATTCTTCATCATTAGGCGCTGTTTCATCTTCATTCGATGCACCTAAAAGTAATTTACTGTCACTCAAACACAACATCAAATTTCATTTAAATCGATTGACAGCACTGTTCGTATGGTCAATTACAAGTAATATAACGTTATTCTGCAACTACTCACTATAATAAACCCAAAAAGAGACCCACAATCCGTGAGTTACTACATATCTATGCATGTTTACATGATTACATGTGTAAATGTGTAATTCTCAAAGAATGGTTTAACAATGATCGTAGCGCTGGAAAAATGTAATATTCCATGTGATCACTCATAGTGATCTATCAACAATTGAATGAGGTAATAAATAAACTTGAAATTTAATGAGAATTGCGTTGCATTCAAGTGTTAATAAAATTAAAAGAAAATGTATTACTTTGCTTATAAGATTTAACGGAATGTCGCATTGCATTAAACTGCGCATTTGTGACTAATCCCTTCAGATCTGCACCACTGTAATCAGAAGTTGCTTCGGCAATATTTCGCAGATTGATAGTTGAATCGAGTTTAACATTCCGACACAACACTTGCAATATTGATAAACGCTCTTCCTTAAACATCAATAATCAAAACAATCATATCATATCAATAACAATATCAGTTGCATACTCACAAAAGCATTAGTAACTCAAACAATTACAATAACGAACCACATTTGGCAATTTGCATTCGATCAGATAATCAAAACGACCAGGTCTCAGCAGTGCCTCATCAATCAAGTCAATTCTATTCGTTGCAGCCAATACAAATACATCTAAATTTGATATTGTAACGATTGTCAGACCAGAGGTGACGATAATTATCAATTGATCACGGAACAACTCTTCAAAATGATCGAAACGAATGAAGCGTTAACTTTTCGTCCTTATTCAAATTTCATCCACTCAACCACAACATAAACAGATAAGGTGTAGACAAGGAAATAGCACCTAACAAGCTGAATGGTCGAATAAATTTAAAATGGCACAGAACAACTCCGAACACATATCCCACCTAAACTCATTCCCCATTTTGTAATTTTCTCAATCCGAAGCTTGAACATATATTTTGGTTGGTAAGATAAATGAATATTCAAAGAGAATCTAGAATGAAACCGTTCGATGAATCGACTCCATCTAATTCGGTGAGTAGTTGATTGACAATGCGATCCGTAACACCAGTATTATCGTGACCTCTTTTTGTGCCCAACGAATCAAATTCATCGAAAAATATCAGGCATGGCTTCGAGGAACGACCTCTGAAATTCCGATTTCATTTATAACTTCGTCTTGATTTGCTCATTCAGTCATGATTGGACAATGATAAAATTACCTCTCGAATACATTTCGAACATTTTCTTCACTCTGTCCGATATACTTCGACAGTAATTCTGGGCCCTTAAAGTAACACATGATTCAGAGATAAATGACGAAACAATTAATAGATAAATAATGCGAATAAATGAATGAGGCAAATTTGCGAATCATTACTTGCACTACATATGTGAGTATACATCAGGTGATCTGAATGAACAAAGATTCATACCTTGATATAAATGATGTTCAAATGACATTCGGATGCCAATGCCCNATGCCCTCGCGATAAGCGTCTTACCGCAACCACTCGCTCCGTATAGCACTACTCCTCTACCGGGACGAATCGCACAGTTACGGAACAATGCCGAATACTGATATTATGCAATTATTATTATCATTGCCACAAAGAGATATAAAGAAATCCTGAACAAACAACACCAACAATTACTCACCTTGATGGGCCATACAAAAACTTCCTCAAGCAGTTTCTTCACATTGTGCATTCCACCGACGTCATTCCACTGCACTTTTATAGCATTATTAGGTTTTTCGATTTTTGAAGAAATATTTCGAAAATCTCGTAATGCCCTTTCAACACACTCAGAACGAATGCATTCGGAATCTGAATGAACTAATCTGATCATTCATAACGACAAAACATGATTTTTTTCATTTAATCACCATAATTACGGAATAAACAAATGGGGTTACGGTGATCGCAAGTGATCGATAAGGAACACTCGAATTGACATATAGGAATGAAATGATGATAAGTAAGATGTGGAGTAGTAAAGAACACTCTAATGTTATAAGCAATGACTTCAAATTATACAGAAACAATTCGGTGGGATTCATTCACCGAATTGCTCCAATGAGTCGGTAACGACGAACCTGTACTAAGTGTCTCTAAAATAATTCGTTGCGATAACTTCTTCAAATCTCCAATCACAAAATTCTCTGTTTTCATTCGGAATTCCTCCAAATCGCA